CCCCCACCCCCACCCCCGGGCTGAATGTTGTTTTGTTTTTCTTGGTAAAACTGTGCTGCAGCTGCAGTTTTTCTTTCTCTTCCATCTGTTTCTGTCTGGATCCAGACTGGAGGGTACGGAGGAAAAGTTAAGGAACAGAGAGAGCCGGCCAGAAGACCTGCATCTCATCGCAGAACTCAGAGAGATGGTCACAGAGAGGGAAGCTCTGGTCAAAAAGCTGGTGGTGAGTGGACAGAGCAGCGTTACGGTGTGACAGGATTAGATTTTAACGCCGTGACAACAAAGATAAAACATCAGGCTGTTTCTGCAGCTTTACTCAGTCTCAGATAAAACTGGGTGTAGTTACTACTGATACAATCTGTGAAAATCACGATTTTGTAGAAAAGGAGTGTTTAAAGCTCAGAAAACCTGGAGTAATTTAAATGTTGATGTTTCAGGATGACAAGAAGTTCTACCAGTTGGAGTTGGTCAACAGAGAGACGGGGTTCAACAAAGTCTTCAATTCCAGTGCCAATGTGGGGGTCATCAACCCTTTAATAAAGGTGAGTGGTCTAATTTCATCAGTTTTGATTCCTAAAACACCAAAAACTCCCTCACCCTTATACCACACAAAGCTTTAAAAAGACACATTAGGGCTGAGTATTTATGTTTGAAATACTCTCTGCTGTTTTCCTTTTTAAAGAGCAACTTGCAAGTTAGAAGCCGCAGTTCCCAAAAGTTGAAAGCTGCTGTTTATAAAGGTTTTGTACACTGTGGTGGCACGATTTACCAAGAATGCAGAAACACGTTGGAATAAATGCACAGAAAGTCTACGTGTATGGTCGTCAAATGATTTAATTTGAGCAACAACAGAGCATAAGTCAATCAGAGAAGTCTGTCAATTTGTGGCTGGCTCGTCAGCGCAGAGCAGCCGATAATATAACATCATGTGACACGCTTACAACCAATCACAGTTCGCCAACTGTGAACCATCTAACCAATGACAGGGCTGTCAGCCCGGAAACACCTTATCAAAATAAAAGAGGTCATGCATTGCTGGAGTCTTGAAGTCTGGGCCGATAGAGTAAAACAGCCGAAACTAGTTATAATAAGATATGATTACTGGACAGTGTCAAGGTAGAACAGATATACATAATTAATCCATAACATAGACCTTTAAATCTGCTTGGCTATGATTTGCTCAAAGTTGCCAAGCTCAACAGTTTCAAAGCTGAAGAGATTGAAAATATTAAAGACCAAAATGTTTTACCCGTGGTCTTATCAGGTGACAAAAAGAAAAGAAAAATCAAGGAGCCAGAGGGTGAAGTGGCTAATGTTTGCTAACGTTGTGCACTCAGTGCTGGAAAGTTTGCCATCACGTATCAGGTGATCGCTATCTGCTGGATGAGGAAGAGTAGAACTGCATTCATACCAGGATTGGTATACATACAGGGCTTCTGTGGGGGATTAAAAACATTCAGTTCAAATTTCAGTGGAATTAAAACAGGATGGGATGAGAGGGTTTTGAAACCTCTCAGCCGGACTCGCTCATCAAGTGATTTTTTTCTACTGAGTTATTGCCGTAATGCACCTTTAACACAGAACGATGTTAGTCGTCGTTTTTCCAGTTGGTTCTCAGTTGTCAGGTAAAAATTAAAACCTTGAGCAAAAATAAAATGAGTGAGCAAATTCCAGCTAAAGTGGATGGATTGATAAATGATGGCGAGAGAGGTTGAAACCACCTCTGATGGGCCTTTGTGCCTCCAAGCTAGGTAGTAACAGAGCTGTAATGGCCGACATGTGAAAAGGTAGGCAGGTGTTGTGCCAAAAATTGATTAACCACAGTGGAAGCAGGCATAGCCTGTTTTAGTGTATATTTCTCAGCGTGACACTGATGTTCTGAAAACAGTACGAGGGAAACGTCCATCTGTTGGTTCTGAGAAGCTCACTTCAATAAGTTAGAATTGAAAGAAAAATTAAGCGCATGACTTTATCTTCCTCTGTAAAACAAAACAAAAATGGGTTGTACATTCACTGTCATTAAAAATTCTACTAAACGACTTTAAATCACCATTTAAATGGATTCAGTTTGATTGGCTGATGTCTGCAGAGACACTAGTGTAATACTGTGTGCTCACATACCTAAAATTGTTCCAATACCAAAGTACCTGACTTTTCAACAGCGTGACTTTCACCTCTCAGCTGAGCAGTCAGGCAGTAGAGGAGGAGCAACAGCAGCCGTGTGGAGGGATTTCAGTGTGAACGACGGTGACAAACGTGAAGCAGACTGCCACCAAAACTGTTTAAAAGAGGGAGAAAATCCAGCACTTTCAACACAAGCGGTTTGAATAACATCAGAATGCAGAGCTTAGTTTTCTGCATATGTGAGTCGTAAAAACACAATATTAATTTATAACTTTCATCACGTTTCAATCTGCAAGTTGCACTTTAAAGACCACCCTTAGCACTTGTAACATCTGCACTGAGTTTTTTCATCACTCCTTTGATAATCACAGAACTATGAAACATGCAGTTGCACCTTTGCAGCCATTTAATTTTATGTGTTAAGTTAAAAACAATAAAGATCCATTGCACGCTAAAAAGCCGACACAGTAAAATGGACTTTTTTCATGCAAAATGCAAAAAGGCTGCTGTGTTCAACTTAACACAATTAGCCACCACTGATCAGTACTAAATGAGCAGAGCTCATAGTATAAATTACTTTCATTGATTGTGTTTGTGTTGTAATGAAATGGATCTTCAGGAAACAGAAAACTCTGCTGCAGCTGTTAGCACCCAGGAATTGTTGTTTTTTCAAATGCCTGTTTATTTAACTTGACTCATTCTTGTTTGTTCCTTCTGTTTTTATTTTAACGTGTTTGATCCTGCATGCAGTTTGCCGTTCGCAGCACAAAACGTTCTCATTCAGCCCGTGTGAACGCCTCACACCTCCTCTCGTCGGGTTTGTCACAAAGACTTGATATCTGCTTACAGAGCTGCTCATCATCCTTTCTGTGCGCACGCAGCTGTCAGAGCTAATGTTGTTCCCAAACAACAGCGTTCCGTTTCAAGTCACAACATCAGCTCATCATCCTCCTCCTCCTCATCATCTTCCATCCTCCTCGTGGCTGTGGCTTGTTCAGATTGGATCACATACACTTCCTTTCTCTTCTCAGTTGCACATCAGAGCTGTAATTTCTAATTCTGTTGACTTGTCTCAGTCTAAAGAGAGCCACAGTGGCAGGCCGCATCCCTTTCACTCCTCCACTGAGATTAGGCTGCAGTCGTTTTATGCATATGAATATGAAATATAGAATTTGTCTTTTGATGGATTTCTTTAGATGCTCGAAAAATGATTGTCCTGAAAATCTTAGACTACAGTTTCTGAAAAATCAAACCTAGGCATATGAGTTTGGCCTGTTTGAGGACTAGCCTGAAGAAGTTTATTCATTTTATTTCATGGGATGAAATTTTCCTTAAAAACATTGTATATCACTAAAACACAAATGATCTACAAAAGCTACTCAGTGATCAAATATTTGTAATGTCATTGATTAGAATTAGTTGGAACATTATTTGGCGTATTTAGAAGAGCTCAGTATTCAGCTGTGGGATGTATCCACCCTAGTGTTTTACTTTAAGAGAAAGCTCAGAGCTTTTGAAGTGACTTCTGTGTGAAGGTTATGAACAGTTAATATCTTACCTGTTGTACATAACTCCTTGGACAACCTCAGTTGACCCGACTGACAAGACAACGGCTAGTGCATACCTAAAAACCTCCAATAAAAGCACATATGTATTAATGCTTTTTAAGTGGGTTATTCTTGTGTTTATGAATGCTTAATAAAACATTAAAGGGGCAATATTATGTGTTTCTCAGGCATATATTTAAATACTATACCATAATAAAGTATCTACCGTATTTTTCGGACTATAAGCCGCACCCGCCATTTTAAAATAAACCCGCGAACAAAAAAAAACAGTACACCCAAATTTGTCGTCAAAAAAGTGAATTCAACATTAAAACATAAAAAGCAAACCTTTAGGAATTAAAGTTCGGAGGAATACGGTTCATTTAAATGACCTTATTTTGGTAGTTTTCTTTAACAGTTTCTGGTCCAACAAAATGTCTCATTCATCTTCCTCCAGCGCACTGAAAACATCGAAGTCCTCCTGTTGAGTGTCGGAGTTAAACAAGCTGAGAAAAGCTGCGTCACACAGCGGTATCTGTTGTCCTCCTGGGGTAATGCTGGCTCTGAAGCTGTGGTGTCCTCTTCACGTAGCAGTCCAGCCTTTCAGAACCCAYTKRTGVTGGTGGACTCATTCACTCTGCTCCACGCTGTTAGGATCCACTGGCAGACATCAGGAAATGATGCTCTTTGCATTCGGCCAGTTTTTATGAATGATTTATCCCCGTCTGTCATCCAAGACTCCCATTCAGCCCTGAGGGCTGCTTTAAATGCACGATTTACACTGATGTCCAAGGGCTGCAAAAACTTTGTTGTACCTCCAGGAATAACAGCAGGAATTGAGTTTGTTTTCTTGATGGCTGCTTTCACCGAATCCRTGATGTGGGCCCACATACTGTCCAATATCATGTCTGTCGAAGATCCGTCGTGTCGTGTCTGCTACTAGCTAAAACAAAATGGTGCTACACCTCTGGCTAAGTTGGCAGTATGGTCGCTCAGCTGTTGACCAGTCGACGCGCCGTCACGTGATTGTTCGGTGTTTGTTTTCACACTGACCTTTCACAGTTCCTCCGAGAAATCCAGAGCCCAGCTGCTGGGAAAGCCCTCCCGCTCCAGCATACGTCACTGCATGGGATTCCTTCCCCGGGGAGTGCAATGCCGAAAAAAAAAGGCAGCAGCTCTTCACTCGATGTTTATCCACAAACTGGTCCGGATTGAGCTCCAAAGTTTTTATCAGTCAGATTCCACCGTGAAAAATGTCTGTTTTATCCCCTTTTATGAGTTCTTGGCCATTGACTATCTTTAAATCGCTGCTTCCTGGTACAACAGTCGGCTCTGGAAGCAATCGCTTTTTTCTTTTTGTTTTCTTTCTTTTTTTGAAGCGAATGGTTGAAACGAATGGAGCATAAGAGCCCCCTGGTGGCTGAAGAAAAAAATCCACGTATAAGACTATACCACCAGACTATAAGCCGCATGGTTCAAAGTTCAGGAAAAAAGTCGCGGCTTATAGTCCGAAAAATACGGTATGTCACCTTTAGTTGTTATTAAAATGCTGTTTTTATGTTTAAATAGAAAATAAACTTA